TTATTTGGGGGATCTGACAGAGGGATTTCAGTATGATTAAAATGATAGAGATGGTCTATAGAAGCTGATGTTACTCAATGCAAATATATTCTCCTTTTGAAAGGTAGAAGTACTATATTATTTCAGTAACTTTGTTTGGGCACTTGTGGTACTTGCTTCACCATTGGCATCTTCATCCAAAGGCCAATAATTCTCTGAAGCATTTCACCAGGTGCTTCCAGCTTTGCTTAGAGGGTTATCCTTTGTTTCTGTAATCACACTTAGTCCCAGTCCCAGCTCTTTCATTTGAGAACTCCATTTGTGACCCCTTTGCTAATATGCATGCATATGAACCCCCTTGGTTGCAGCATTGTTATTTGTATTGCTCCATGTGCCCTGCACATGGGATTAAACCTGTCACATCTTCCAGCTGCACAGTTCTTCATTCAAGCTATAACTTATTGCTTTTAACACTAATAACAATCCCAAACTTAACTCCTAGTCTTGGTCACAGTGGTAACCATCACACATATAATTTAGGAAGTCATCTTTGAGATGATGATATGAATACTAATGTACCGTGAGTAATTTTGACTACTGATCATATAACACAATAATTATTGTTTTCAAAAAGGGATGATTGAACCTGTGTGAACAGTTTTGCTTCCTTGGAAGCCCATAATTTTTAAAACTAAGAAATAATGTTTAATTATTAAAAATAATATTTTTAAAAGAATTTATTTTCTGTCAAGCGATCTGGCACCATAAAAATTTAGATTTTAATATCATGAAACTTCACTACCTCCTCAGTACCATTAGGCTCCTGGCTTCTGCAGCCTGTATTCTCTCTATTATACCATGATATAAAAGAAATAGGCAACCATATCTTGCAGCAATCAAGCATTCCAACTAATGGGTGGATTTAACTTGAGTAGAAAGACTACATGAACGTTTAGGGCGAACTTTGAATGCTTCCTCCAAGAAAAATTGTATAGGGAAGACAGACAGAGTGAAGCACGGATAACCTGAGGATATAGGGATTTTGTATGTGTGGAAGATGCCAACAGGTCCTGTTAAAGCTGTCTTTTCAAATGGTTCATCTGTATTATAATTTCTGGATGATCAACAATACAACCCAGACTTTTCCTAGAAAAACATTAACAACCTGATGCTTGATTTAGGAGATTTGATGGTCTCTTAAGATGTCTGCTCAGACTAACTGGTCTGAGGGTTGCAGCACTAAGAACAAGACCCAGCACAGACAATAAAAAAAGCAGTGCCAGAGATACAGGCTTACAAAACAGTACGAGTATTTTCTTGTCCTGTAGATCAAGTTGCAAATCCAGGAATCATGGCCAGGTGTGCTTCAGCACCTTTGTCTTCTCCCTAGATTAGCACTGAGTGATGCAGTACAGATACTCAACCACACTCTTATACAGTCTTCTCTTGACTATGACTTTCACATTTGCATTCAACATAAGCTTTGGTTCAGTGAGCAATACCTCAACAAGTCAAGTTCCCTGCTTGTGAGGCTCCTTGTGGCACCACAGGCTCTGCTGCTATGCTCTCTTCTGTGCATAAACGTCCTTCTCTTGAGCAGAAAGCTGCAACCATTGCTCCAGAAACCTCTGCCTTGCTATGTCTCCTCTGCTGACCTCTCAAGTGTGCATCACTTATGTGATGGGAGTTCTCCAGGGGAAAACAATACCAGAGCAGCTCCAGCTCTTAGGGCTCTGCAGCAAAAGCACTGCAGCGACACGGCCCCTCTGAGTACTGCCCTGGCTGTCTGTAATGCACAGTATTCTAAAGGAGAGGAGAGGTTTCTGCAAGCTTACCTAAAGGAGGGGATAACCACAGCTTACACAAACTTGAACTGGACTGCCAGCACTTTGTGAGTGCAGCACTGAGTACTTACTTGGACTACCTCGGCAGCTGTATGCATCAGCTTTTCAGTGGCAGCATACTAATCCTGGTCATACCTCCTAGAGACACCCTGATTTTTTTTTATTTTTATATGCAGTTTTTGTATATATGTAAATATGATTAGTTCTACAATAGAAAGTACTAAGAAATTAAGGCTCTCTTCTACTGCTTGATGTTGTAGCACTGAAAGTGAATGATTTATTGCATTGTAAACTCTCTATCTTAATTTCGCTGTGTAATATGAACTGTGGGTTTTGCTTTGATTTTGGAAGCTACTAAGTCCCTTTACAGTGTACAAAATTCACTGAATTCATCTGCATTTTATAATAGCACGACTTTACAGAGCTTGATCAAAGTTGGAAGCCCTTTACAGCTCAAGAGTGGCTCAGACAATGTTTTTGTTCTGGGAAATCAAGTCCTGAAAGATTAAAACCCCAGTCCCATTTTATTTAAATGAACACATTTCATTCCTCTGCCACTAGTAGCAAGCAGTGAGCTGCACAGTAAGCTCATTCTTTCTCCATCATTGATTTTATTTCCTCCACAACTCACCCCTAATCTGGATGTATCAGCTGCTATCATATTGCTTCTGATCTACTACGTTACACACTGTAAAAGATTTCAACTTCATGGCTCTGCTCCAAGCAAATAAAAAGAAACCAAGGAAATACTTTTTTCATTCATAGCTATTCATACTCTACTAAGCAGAGCTCAGGACATCACGATGAGGAAGGCTGCAGGTTGACAGTTCAGGAATAAATACCACAGCAACAAAACGACATTTTGTTATACATACCACATTCTGGTGGAACACGCTCATCTGGAAGATGACACAATGTGGGATTTACTGTCTGAAGGCATTTCCTATGGCCCTCTCCCCCCACCCCATTCACTCTATCTTTACACAGGACCAAGCTGCTGAATGTGCATGCACTTTCCTTAAGAGGTTTGGAATAGGGGTGGCATAGCCCAGCCGCAGTAAAAAGCAAGCACAAGGGTGGGCCATAAGAATGTACAACATGAAACTGCTGTTCATGCTGGGGACAGTACTGCGTATTTTGTGGGGGCATTTAGCAAAGAGAATGCAAGAGACTACTAGTGATGCCAATCAAAATGGTCCATTTTGCTGATTTATGGCATCGTTGCACATACTAAAACTCTCTTGCTTTCTCTTTCTCACTGCAGCTTTACCCTCAAACTTGAATTGCCGATCTGATTCACTGTCCCGTAAGCTGATGACTCTTTGCTCCGCAAGCCATTCATGCGCCGCACGGACTCAACGCTCGCATTCCCAACAGCCACAGTCTGTGCCTGTCCCCAGAGTGTCAGCATAGATAGCAGCAGCAAGAATGGGAATACCACAGCAGCAGCATGACGACACACACACACACAACAGGCAAAGAGAAGAATGGCTTGGTTAGAGAAGACCATCATGCAAAACAATGAGAATCACTTTCAAGGCAAAATAAACTGAGAAAATCGTGAGAGACAAAATCAAGTACAAAGATGCAGAAAATACCTCCTAAAGAAACTGCCTTAGTAACATTGTTCCCTATTTTGAAATTTGTGCAACCAGATTCATAGGAAAAAAGCAAGTTTATGCAAATGGATAGGTCTGGCTTACTCAGCTGCATATTTCCCTGTACTTAATTATGTTGTTACCTATTTTGCAAAGAACCCGGGTACCACGTGGCTTAGGATAAACACAAGTCTTCTGATGATTTGGTCTTAAATAACTTTCTTTTCACAGTCACCAAAATAATAGTTTACGAAGCAGATGAATGACCACTTCCATGGACCAAAATCTCATAAACTTGAGTAATGTCACTGGATACTGTTACTTACCAAAGACGGTTACTTGTTCACCTCTAAAACAGATCTTGCATCCAAAAATGAAACTACAGATGTCATACAGAAGCTTCTGCTGCTGCCATGCTGGGTTTGAAAACAAAGGCTTCCAGAGGCAGTGCATGAGGCCTGTAGACAGGCAAGCTTCTCTGCTCTCTCCTGTAATCTAATCTTCACTGGAATCTCAATTCATCTGACAATAATATTAAACTAGAGAACAGCTTTCTTCCCAGAGTATCCATCAAATATTACATTAGCTACAGAACATTGATTAGACAGACCTGTCAAAACACGAATGCCCTGTGCCATTGTTGTCATCCCTATTGTAAAGGAAACCATTATTTGTGGCTTGAAGCACTCGTGCATCTCAAGCAAATACTTACTTCACCTAGCAAATATATATGTAGTGTTTATAGTTCCAGATTCTCTAGACATGTGAATGATCATGACTCGAATAAAACTCAATTTAATGTCTACTCTTGTCTTCCCATTTACTGAAAAAAACCAAACAGAACAATCCAGGACAGATGGACAGACTTCCTAAAATTATTTCTAGACTGACATCTAGGTTACAAACAATCCCCTCTTCTACATGTCAGTCACTGGCAAAAAATTCTGTGATAGTGACACTCACAAAAAGGTATTTTGCTAAAAATTTGAAGTTTGCATCAGTTACAAACTGTGAAATGACAGAATCAGAGAGGAAATTCTCCTAATCCTCCTCCTTTTTTAAAATGGCCATGTTTCCTGGTTTCAGCTGGGAAAGACACCAGCTGCTGGTGGTGTAACAGTGAGGGCAGAACTGCAAATCATTGCAATGGGCTCTCCTAGGGAACCTCCCATTTTAGCATAGCTAGCTAGGGCAGCACTAGAAAAGACAGGTCTCAGGCATGTTCTGATGACAGCACATCTGGGTAATATCATTCCTCTATCTGTGTCATTGCACCCAACAGTTCCTTATCCAATGGTGCTGCCATGTAGCCCAGTACTTGTAGAGGTCCAGCTGCCTCAGCAATTCCATGAAGAGAAGAGAATTCTTGGAACTGGCGACCAATTACTGACATTTGTTGATAACTTAATACACTGCAAATAAACCCAATTTGAGCTCTTTATCAAGGAGTAAATCACTGAAAAGGAAACTTTAGAAAAAAGACTCTCCTGCAAGGGCAAGAAGTGAGGTAGGAAATCAGCTTCACGTTAGCAGGGCTGTCAGGGCATGTTCAGTCTCCCCAGGTAAAGAGCAGCTGTACCTTGTTTTGTCTTCTTTGCCTTCTCCGAAGCCTCAGAAACTCTTTGTGCTGCCGTGAAACGAAGTTGACTGCTGCATATTCCAGCAAAGCAGCAAAGACAAAGAGAAGACACACAGCCATCCAAATGTCGATAGCTTTTACATAGGAGACCTAGAAAGAAATAGGACACAGCATGTTATATCTCAAACTACTTCCTAAGCTGAAGATATTGATGTGAAAAAAATAAACACTTATTTTTGCACAGCATGAGTTCCATGAGGTGGGTTTTTCTTGTTCTGTGTTTTGATTTGTTAATTCATTGGCTGATAAAAAATACTTAATCCAACTATTAATGAAAATGAGTGTCCACAAAGAATAGAAAAATGAGCTATTGCCTTTAGAGAAAGAACAGAGTTACTTTAACAAAATACAAGTGTTCTTATTGTCACAATCAAAGCTTGGAAAAAAGAATACAAATACAAGATATGATAAAAAGCCTACTGAAAAACAATTGTAGAAAGTTTATAGGTTTCACCTTTTAAAATTTTTATGAACCAATTACCATAATGCTTAATTAGCTATATTTGGTATCCACAACCTCAAAGTAAACTCAGGGTACTCTATTGTATGGGCTGATACAATTTTACCAATTAAATATTCCATCCTAGTTGCTTGACCCCTTTACCCAATATCTCTATAAGAAAAATAAATCTTCATAGATATTATCTACTAAAAATACCCAAATACCAGCTGCGTCTGTTCTAGTAAAAATCTATTCTGATTTGAATTGACTGGTCCACAATAAAATCAGATACATTACAGCACTGCAATGTCACAAGATGTTTATAATATTAACCACACTGGGCCAAACAGTAGCCAATTAATGAGCTACACACTATGCATATCAAAGCTACTTCTCCATAGGTGTTTGGTCTCTGCTTTTCTTTGTAGTCTTGCAGTTTTTAAGCAGAGATCTTATGATTAGGTAACAGCAGGTTGTCTCTTTTGTTCATCAGGTATTAACTCCTGAGTGAAATTATAATGATCTGACTTAATGTCTACAATGTACATGTGAGCTAGTTGCATAAACTACTTTGACATAAATACATCAAGGAATGAAGAAAAATGGGCACATCTAGGATGCAAGGCATTGAACTGTTTTACATGTCTTCTCTGCAATGAGATTAATAACAACCAAATAGACTTTCTTCTTATTAATGTCTGGAAGGAGGAGCTTCGAACACCTCTGTAGGCAGAGGCATCCAGGGCTTTACACAGTTGCCCAAATAACAGCATCACAAATTGACACATTAGGTACCTAGCATCCATTTGCTAATTTAGCAGAGCACAAAGCTTCAGTATCTCACATTAACCAGTGCCCTGGAGATGTCTCAGATACTCAAGGTCACCTCTATTTGACAGAGACCCATGGCACCCCCATACAGATGAATCAAGATAAGCAAAATGGATTGTACCTAAACCCCGAAATATTATAAACATTTGAATAATAACCTGCAGGCAAAACACTTTATTGTAGTCAAAGCATATAGAGGTCTGAAAAGGCACCAGAAAAGGACATTGTGTTCCTGACACTCACGTTAAGGAGACCAAATCTCCATCTTGGAAAATCCACTTCTATCCTTTGCATAGTATTCAAAATGACCTCACTATTTGGCTGGACAACCATTCTGTGATGTAAGGAATCTCACCTCTAGGTGTAAATTGCACCTCTAGGTGCAAATAGGTTTTGGTCCTATTTGCCATGTGCTTGAATAGCATCATTTTTCAAAGTCCATAAAAGATCTTGTGTTAATGTCAAATGGAATATACTGCACTTTGTGCTTCAGCAAGCAATATGAGCAGAGGAACTGGCATTCAGAACACAACAGAAAGGATATAGAACTTCATCCTGCAGATCCTCAACACTGAGAAGGATATTTTAGAGGAGCCAAGCACTGTTATTCAGCCTGCATCAGAGGAACATGCCTTTCAGTAGCAATAGTGCAGCTCCATGTGGCAGTGCCCACCACACAGCTCACACAGGCTGCCATGTAGCAGGCTGAGGTGACACCATCAATTGTGCCTTTCAATTAGATACACAGCAGGTATGTAGTTCACTCCCTCACATACAAAAAATTGTACAAGTTACATCTTTACTGAGCAGATGTGAAAACCAGAGAAAACTCAACAGTGTCCCAGACGCTCTGTGCCACAGGCTGAGGCACAGTAGGAATCAAGTCGCTGTAATTTGTGTAAAATGCAGCTGAGATTAGGTTGTTTGCTGCTTTCCTTGAAGGGGCAGTTTGTTTCCTTTACAAAAGCCCTTAGGAGATGTATTAAACATGAATAAACAGCTGGACTGTGCTGTCAGAGACAGTACAATACAAGGAGCTGAAGTCAGAAGAATCAGCATTTCTGACTGTGCAAATCCTGTCCTGGTGGGCCTAAAGCAGGGAAGGCAAAATGATAAAGGAAGCCCTGAGTTAGTCGTCCTGCCACTTATACTGTGCTACCATAAATGGCATCCACATAGCTGCTGAGCCAGCTGGATTATTTTAACTCCAGCCCGCTGGGATGGAATCAGAGAATCACGATATCCTTGGCAGATACATAGCTTGTTCTATTGTTTGGCCAGGGCCACACCATGGCACAGCTTTAAATGAGAAAACAGAAAGCAATTGCTTCCAGCACCATATTAAAATAAATAAACTGAAAAATCCTGCAATGAGTAAAAGCTGACACCTTTGTTTTCAAAACAATTTATTTAGTTTACTTATGAATCTTCAGTATATACAGAATTGTGCTGCTCAAAGCCTAAAAACCTATGGACTTTTCTGACATGCTCATAGAAGCTGGAGTCTGCAAAACTGAGTAAATCATGAAAGCCTAGACACATCCATTGCTCAGGCAGGTTCTTCCATCAAACTCAAAGCCAACATTATCAGCTAGGGGGTTTTCCCCAGATCATAGTATAGCATTAAAACTCATATGTTTGTTCAACTTAAAGGCTTGTAGCTTTAGCTTTGATAAGGACCCACCAAACAGCACTCTCTCTCCAGCTTCCTTAACTACCATGTCCATGCTTCAAGCTCCACACTCACTGCTGGGTACATGTAGGACAGTGTAGACTGATTTTTTGTTGGAGGTTTCTTCTCACCTAACTTAAAAAGCACATGTGGGGATTTTTTTTCAATTAATGCTAAGAGACAAGCAATTTTAGGACAAAATTCTTTTAAGTGGAACGTAGATATCTACACTATAGTACAATAAACTGTATCCTAAAAATGCCAGTCTCTCCTTTATGATCAAAACTGGAGTTTTGGAAGGCTATTTCAGGTATACATGTATGTTTGACATACACTAACTTTGGCTAGATAAAGCCTATGACTTATTTCTGTTAGACAGTACCTTGATGTAATTCTAATCAGAGCAGAGCAGAATATCAGAAATGACCCCACATGAGCCTTATGTAATAGAGACTGTAATAGAGCATTTGCCACCCTTCCCATAATTTCACTTGCAGCACAGAATCCAGAAACAATACAAATTCCAAGTTGACATTATTAAGTTAGCATGCATAAGATAAAAAATAAGTGGGGTTGTTTCAAAGGTAGACCTTGTAAAACTTCCACTGAAAAACCTGTAACATTGACAGTACACTGGCTCCATTTACTAGAGAATACTTTTAGAAGTGGGTATTTGGAAACTCTGTCTTGTTCAGTGTTATCATGTTCAGAAAGCCCAATAAGATTTTCTTGTCCTTTTCTTTCTTTAAATAGCTGTTCCATTTTTTACTGCATGTTGCCAAGCTTCCTCCCTAATGCTGCTTGGGAGGAGGGGATTTAATGGCTCCCACCAATAAAACCATAAATTATATCAATTATTCAGATGCTTTGTAAATGTTTTAGGGCCAGCTAATGAGGGAACTTTTTTCTGAATTAGAGCTGTCTGCATCAAGAGCCAAGTATGGTAAGGCTAAGTATAGTAAATGTGACAAAGCTGCTTCTTTCCCTTCATAATTTTCTTCATTTGTTATTTGGCCATACCCACTAGATAAAAAAAGACCTGCTTGTTCTCCATACACTGCTGTGGCATCACTGGCCCCAGTGAAGTTCCTGGAAATGAAAGCACAAGGAGAATTACACTGTTTGTGAAGGACTTGAGGGGATTAAACCTTCCACTCCTCAAACTCTTTTTATTTTGTCACTGTGACTCTCCCACAGTGTGTCACCACCAGAATGAAGAACGCCTTTGTGGAGAGAATCCAGGGGAAAACTTGGTCATGGGTCCTGCAGCTCAGCAGCTGTCATTTGTTGACATTTTTGAATCAAGCCAAATGTGAGCTCTGTTTTTGCTACAGTGCCAGTCTCATGAGAATCCAGACAACTGCTTTAACTCTCTGATTCTGTCAAATGAGTGTAAAATGGAAATAAAGCCATATAAAGCCAAATAAAGCCAAATAAACCACTCCCAGGGTTCTGCCCTGTGAAAATAACTTCAACATGCAGTGAAAGGTACTCAGTTTGTGTTAAAAAACACATACTCACTTATTTTGGTGTGAAAAAATAGCTTTTACTTGTGATGTAAAGCCACAAATCTCTGTTTTTACACAATGCCATATTCTAGACAAGGTTTTTTAAAAAATACAATTTTCAGCTACTGTGAAATCTTACAATTTGAAATTAACTTTTTCCATGCATTAAAATAAACTCTTGAAGAAAAAGGTTTCAAAGAATTTTTCAGATTGGAAAGGTGGAAATAGAACAAAGCATCATTTTAAATCAAAACTGAAACAAAAGTTACTTTAAATGAAAAGTGGGCAATTTTCAAAACAAAACAAGAAACAAGCAAGAAATGTCTAATTTAAACAGGGTGAAAAAAATACTACTACTCTTCCTCTATTATTCAGATTCCATATGAAAGTGTCCACCTTGCTCAGCAGGGATTCACAAGTTGTTCCAGCCACCCAAAATTGCCTTTTTTTAGTGAATAAACTATTCATCCAAACATTTTTGCCCTATTTCTATTGCTGGTTCTGCCAAGTCATGAGATGCTAAACCTCCCACTCACTGCTGATGCAGAAATAAATGCTGACTGCATTCAAGCTAGGAAATGTATGGGAAATATTTGTGGTTTGTTTTTCCTTCAAAGATAAAGGGAAATTTTCTTCA